GCACAGGATGTGATTGTTTCATTCAACTCGGTTGTTCTTTTTTTCATTTTTGTCAAACAAATGGTGAAGCTTCGCCAAGATGAAAGTCTACTTAGTTCAATATTCTAACTCTGCCAAAAGTTATATAATAAAGCTAATTATCTGGGGATCGTAGTATTAAACGCCCCTTGCTAACGTCAACATCACAGCTATTGTTAGTTTCACCATTGTCACTCATTAAACAACCTTATAGTGATTTAGAACATTTTGTTGATGACATAACCTGTTTGCAGCTTTCTCTAAATATAAACCCAAAGGCTTTTGATCAGCGCAGACTGGAACAGCTGTTTACAACTTGGACAGATCACGACAGTTTAACCAGGAGTAAAGCTTATTACGAGATCTGGCTGCTGTATAAAATGTTTACGTTTTGCGGTGACAAACACAGCGTGATAGAACCGGCACAGGTGCGCGGCTATTTTGGCGACTCGAGTTTTGTCTGAAAATAAACAAAGAGATCTCAGACCCTCTAATGGTGGTCGGTGCCAACATTCATTCTGAAATATGATGAACAGTGAACAGTGGAGAACAGAACAGCAGACGTGTCAATTAAAATTGTCACCCGCCACTGGACTTGCAGATTGCCGTGGATAGAAATAGTGATGCCGAAAGCCTGAATATTGTGTACCTATTGACAACAAAAACAGTGTTCACGTTCGCAGGAATTTGCTTAAGCGAAAACCGGGCTGCTATTCTGGGGGTTCGGGGGTTATGGACTAAAAGTAAAAGGGTCATTTAGAATACTTTCATGCTCTTTAAACACCTTAATTAAATTTCAAAAACGTTCAAAATTATAGGTATCTGCATCTTAAATACCCGTAAAACTTGAGATTTGACTCTAAGCCATAACCGTTTTGCACAGTACAGTACTTTAATCTAAACTTAGAGCGCCTCGGAATTATTACATAGGAAAAACCCATTAGTGATTGGTGGGACTTGAACCCGAGACATTGGGTACCGGGAGCACTAAGCTCTACCATTCTACCAATGGACCAGCTCACAGTATTGTTTATAGTAAACGATTACACTCTTGATTCAGAGTTAAAAATCTCTTAATCCAGTATGTTATTTATTATGGTTATTGTTAAGCTATTTCTATTCCGTAGGCTTTAAGGTACCTATATGGTTATTTAAAAGTATTCAAACATTAACTACAAACACTCCATTTAAAACCTGAACGCATTTGGAACTCATTTAGCAAATCAACGTTATAAATTTTACCGTCATGAAACACGACATTTTACGACAGAACGAAGTCTACTTCCTATTTTCAGACAATGACATTACTGTACATAACATTAAGTTTGCCTATTCATAGTTTTTAGGAGTTTAGAAATCAGCGAGAGAGGAGAACAAGAACGGCGTCCAACGCTGTGATTAATGAGGCGGTGGCAGTGAACCGGCGAATAACGACGACGATCAAGACACCACTGGCGGTAACAAGGGGCCTAACAGCTGGCTGTGGCTAACCTCTCATAATAACACCGCTCTATTTTATTCTACGCTATTTTCGGACACAACTTGGGATATTTTTGTTCCTATAGGTGGCAAAACTGCGGGTTACGCCGGTTGTTCAGTTTTATTCTAACTAGGAGAACAATGAATGGGACAAAGTGTGTGTTAAAGAGGCGTGTTTCTAGCAATAGGACTACTTTGTTTTTCAAAGGTTTATTGCGGACATTTTCCATCACGAATGTAAAAAACAATACACAACGTTTCGGGATCTGGAATCTGATCCCGTCCTCAGGTGAAACAAACTTAACTAACACATTACAACTAACAATACACAAACGCCCAACCTAAGTTGGAATACTTACTTTTCTTTTGCTTTTTTACATTCGTGATGGAAAATGTCCGCAATAAACCTTTGAACAACACTAACTCACCATCACCAACAATGAACTTCAAACAAAGAAGGACTACTTTATTTACTTAAAACTGTCTACAGTCTTACAGTCTAATGTAAAATATGCCTACGTTGTAAAATAGTAAAAACACACTTGTGCAATAATATTTTTTTCTATTTTTATCATGCTAAAAACGCAACATTACATAATAGTTTACAATTCAATCAACAACAATACAAAAACAAAAAGCAAAGTAATAAATAAAACTAAAGATGAATATAATAGTTAACAAGATAATTTAGTTTTGATTGCATTAAATTAATAGTTTGGAGGGTTCTGAAAGAGGCTAAGTTTGAAAGGAACAAAGCAATGTTCTGCTGTAGTACAGTAGCCTACATTGAAAAGCCTCATTAAAACATTGCTGAGAGCCTGGGCAACCGGGCAAGTCCGGGCGAATGGAGAGAAAAAAACTAGAACAGTTGAACAGTGATAATGTACTGCCAAAACAATCATTTCTAATAATTACCTATTTTTGGCATAACATGTCATAACCGTACTCCATCCAAAAAATAACAGTATATGTTCGTGATTTATCCCTAATTGTTGTTTTTATTTAACGTTGTTTTGTATTTTATTTTTATAAAATATCAAACACCAAAAAACGCATGGTTCGGTTAATTGTGATAAGAATTTTGGATATTTCCCAAATTAAAAGAATGATTGCCATCTTTCTCTGTTGGTGACTAAAAATAATAGTAATTCAAGCTTTTTATTAGCTTGCTAATGTCTGTATTAGGGCCTATTTTACATTTTTTCGTTTATAGCAATTGGAACTTTGGAAGGTATTAAAACTACTTTTGATTACATGTAATATCATTGCCGAAAAGTCAAAGTCCTAAAACCGTAATATTGGGAAGCAAACATCCTCAAGAATGAATATACGTTAGATTGCACAACAAAGTGTGTATTTTATTTTGTATAGTTATAGTATAAAAACTGGAACAAAAAGATGTCTACACTATAAGAAAATGACGTGTGTTACAGATTATTTTCTACTCTTATTTATAAGGTTCGAATCTTGCCCTATTGTAGTTTTAGGCTACATTTAAGGAGACATCACCTGTCTGTAGAGGAGTTTATGATTTGGAAGAGTTTCCTAAAAATAAACCACATACGTTGAAGTGGAGTAGAAACACTAAAGGAGTTGTTGACATAGTAGAAGTTGCACTTTTGATAACACGTCTGACGTCCTTCTTGCACTTAAGTTTCTGCAGTAATCCAAAAGTAAAACTTATTTGTAAATTAGTCAGAAGTTCGCAAGCTTGGTGATAAAAAATCCTTATCTAGAAGGTGTATTTTTAGACATTTTTGCTTTACAGTATGTATGTAAAAAATTACACTGTTAGGTAAATCTTTTTGTCCTCTTAAATTTTTTAGAGCTATAATTTATATTTGTTTAGTCCAATTAAGGCACTGTAATTAAAATCTCTTCTCAAAAATGGTCCATTTTTCTTTCCTTATACGATTACTGCTACGGGTTTTTACAAATTAAATATTTTATCTTTACAACATACATGTTTAATTGATTATAGAATTTGAAAAAGTGTAATTAAAAAGGTATGCTAAGCCCATTAAAATATTTAATCTACTGTAATTTTTATGTAAAATACATATTTAGTTTTAAGTTTTTACATTTTTAAATGTTATTCATACAAGACTAACGTTTCTTAAAAAGATAATTTAAAATAAAATATGAAAATGAGGAAAAATGTTCGTTGCCTCTTGTGATGTACCTCTTTTATAGTGATACTCAATCACTAACTATTGAAACTTACACCATCTTAACTTTATGACTTCCTAATAGACTAGACAAAAATATAGAATAGACAGGCTAAAATTAGATGCTTGCATGTTGATGTTTGAACATTGATGTTTATTCGTTACGATTAGTGGTAGGGAGCACAGCCCATAGAATAAGTTTACTTGAGAACAAGGTATAGAGCACCTACAATACACCTCTCAAGGCGTATTTGAATGTTCTAAGACTAAGAAAAAAGGGCCATCTTACATTTTCTACTAGCCGATTTTAGAATAATCAGACAGTCCTAGTGTTGCTCAAACCCATTATGAGCTATGCGACACCACTGTTGGCAGTTGTCGTCTGTAGATCATCTTCCCGGCATTTCCTTGTCTACTAGACACTCGGCCATTCTCTTGAAACAATCTCGAAACTAAAATATTCTAGATTATGGTTTCCAATTTTAAGTTATGTGAAATCTCGACATCTGACCTACTTTAAAAATACCCCCGCTCAGCAAACCTGCGGAGTAAGTGAATTTCCATTATATTGCCAGATTAGGTTTTTAACTATAACATTTCCACAAACAAGCCATATACTTATCCTCTAAAAAATATTTTTTTTTTAAACATTAAAACCCCATAACACCACGTTCCCAGCCATGACCCTATCATGATGGTTTGCGAACTCACATTTTAATCCAGCTCTAGATTAATGCCAAATTTGATAAAAATGTGACAAACAATTATCCGAATTATCATGTACACGGACACATACATACACCTACATATATAAACATTTAAACAGTGATGAAAAAGTAAATCGGTCCCGGGGCTAAGGTCGTACCATGAGACCTTCGATAATAGCTTTCCCCTGTAGACAAATTCGCCTATAACTATTCTTCTTGATCAGCATCCTGCATCGTACGTGTTATTAAATTACCTAAAAAAAAAAACGTGAAACAACACTTGTAATAATATATTTACACTTAAACTGTTTACTCACAAAATAGTAAATAAAAGATGGTAAGTGATGGTCGATTTCGATTGGACACTCCAATCATTAGACCCATTCGTCTATTGGGTCTGATGATGATTGGAGTGTCCAATCAAAATCGATCACCACTTAGGACTCTACCATCTTTTGAGTAAACAGAACAAGTGTAAATATATTATCACAAGTGTTATTTGACGTATTTTTTTACTTTCAGGCAAACTATACTTCACAACAATGAAACTTTAACACAACAGCTGATATTGTAGTGTGGTGGAGTCTAAAGAGGACTGGGGGAGTGGAGACTGTGTCAGTTGTGGTCACGGAGAGGACACAGTAGGCTAGTGTTGATGCTGTGAAGAAGTCAGTTGTTATATTTCCACCGCCACGGCGCGGGAGGAGCACAGCCACCTCGTCGCAGCTTTCGGTAAGTGTATTGTTCATCTCTGGAGTGTATCATTTAAATAAATCCAAGAACATTTTAGCGAATTTCCCTATAGGGAAGTAGCTATTACCGTAGGTCTCATGGTAAGACTTAGGCCCGGGACCGATTTACTTTTTCATTTTAATGTCCCCAGAGGCCAAAAACACCATTCGTTCAAATTTTTATATATGTATATATATATATATATAGGTATATATATATATATAGATTTATATATATATATATATATATGTGTCCGTGAACACGATAACTTGAGTAATTTTTATCTGATTTTGATGAAATTTGGTTTGAAGGTGTAAGGCGGGATAAACTTGAATGAGTTCGCGATCCAGCATGATCGGACCATGGGAACAGGGTTTTATGGGGGGTTTTATGGGGTAAAAATGGGTTTTTCTCACTTTTTACCCTCAAAACACAAAATTTCCCAATTTTTCTCTAAACCATCTTAAAGAGCTTAAAACAACAAACAATTCAGTATATCAAAGTGTTTTTGTACGGTTATTGGTTACGAAGAAAACTAAAAAAATTGTAAATTAAAAATTCCCATGTTATTCTCATAGAGAATATTGTAAAATGTTGTAGTTTGCTTGTTTATGGATATATTTTGATCAAACTTGGCAAATTTATTTATTTTATAGTAAGCTATCAATATTTTACTAAAAACACACTACTTTATTAGTTTCCTTGTAGCAGCAAACCTTACTCGTTAAACCTAATAATGTTATTTAAATAGATCAATTGAAAATCAATTCGGACAAATGGAAATTCGCTTAGACGGCAGGTTTGCTGCGGCGGGGGTATTTACTTTGGTTTCTGGTGAAATTAAGTAAGTTTCTGGTACCTATCTAGAAAAATTTAATTTTTGGAAAATATTACATTAATCTGTGATTATTAATTTTAATAATTTATAATACGTGGGCGAATATATTTTTTTTGTATTATTTGATTTTCCATTGAGTGTCTATTTTAGGAATATATTTTATGAAGGATATTCTATACTTTTGACAAAATCATAAATAAATATTTTCATTTTTTATAGAAGATGAATATCTATATTCGGTTTTTTTTTATAAAAGGTGTTTGGGCAATATTTTATTTTAAATAAAAATACTCGCAAATATTATTTGTCTTAATTTTGTCTTAGAAAAAATATCTACCTTTGATACTTTCTGTTTTAAATATTACTTACTCTCCAAAGTGTTTAAATTGATGTCGATAAATAATGTTTTTACAAGTTTTATAACAATTCTAGTTAAAATATACTTTAAAACATGTTGATAAATCTATCACAAAATAATTTTTGTCAAAAAAGTAACCTATTAAAAATACTTCATAAACTCTTCTCATCTTCATTCACTTGTTTAAAATCTGAATATGGTTAAATTAAACTGTAGGAACAGCTGTTAAGTTACAACTCACAATTAATTAAACCGTTATAAAGAAAGTTGGTAAGCATAATAGGATTTTTCAAAAGGGACTATAGAAATAAATTAAACGTGAGGAGGGCGAAACCCAAATGAAAATTACCGTTAACTATAATTCGCAAGTTCGATGGATCATAAGCTTTCAAATTACACCTCAATCGTAAAAAAAATGTTAAGTAGGACCGCTGAAAAGTGATATTACAGGAAACCCCTTTATTGTTTAAAGTATACAGACAGGTAATTCTGGTTTAAGATATTAGAACCAGCTGATCTTGATAAAAAAAACTGTCTTCGTCCCTCAATCACCTTTGCATCATAATTTCACCATTGACGTCATGTGGGCCTTACATAAAACAATCTTACAAAAGAGAAGAAATAAAACAAATTATTACAACTCAACATTTACAGTATTTTGTGATAGTCCAACTAGCAAGGAAAAAATTCACAATTATTCTTGAAGCCGATTTTAACGTACTCCTTACTCGTACGTCTACGGATAATTTATATCTGTCCAAACTATCATCGATTACCTTGCTAATTAGCACATCAACAAATTAGCGCCTGTCATTCATAGTAAACGCCGTGTAACCTCAGAGATTTTGGCACAGATCTGAGCAAAAGTTATGTTGTAGGCAACTTCAAACTAAATATTTAATATTCCAATTTTTAATATAATATCTTTTGTTATTGTTAGTTCAAAGAGAAATAAGGAAAGAGAAAATACGGTTTAAAACATGTTGAATCATTTTAATTGTTGCAGACAAAGCCACTTACGGCTTTTATGGCTAAATCGTATGAGTTTGTGTGTTTGTATTTTATGTAAATAGGTATATAAAACAAAAATTATTTAAACTATTATTGGTCAGTGATTTTTTATCATCATCTATTCCCATCGTAGACATTTCATCTATGTGTATGGGCTTCAGGTGAGGTAAAAATTTAGTTAAATTAGCCTTTCATGTATGTTACTGTTAAAGTATTTTTCTCTCTCTTATTTGTTGATGCCATGATAGTTTACATGATTTATAGTTTACATGATGATGGTTTACATATATATAGCTACAGTTTTAAGAAGTAGGCATATCATCTGGCTTAATTCAAAAGTTGGTGTATAACCTACAGCAGATGTGTAACCAAGGTAAAAATGTGGTTCGGATTCTACTATAAACTGTAGGTCCCTTAGTTGCCATTAGCTGTATGGGCTATTAATTAAGAGCTGTGTCTAAGGAACATGTCGGCCTTAGTCACTAACAAGACTACAAGATCGCGCCACTCATCCTACACTCATCCTCCACTCGTATTTGGGTTAAAATACGCACATAGTGGCGTCCCCATCTTAAATAATAGATAATTGATAATTCATACTTGGCTTAAAATGCCTACTTTGTATGGTTGCCATTTCATTGAAAAGTATTAAAGAAATCACTGATTGACAATTAATTCAATTCAAACTTGTATTTTTATTCTATAATTTGCTACAATATCGGAATATTTTTCATTTATATCTATAGTCAAAGGTAAGTAAGCAACCAAAATATTGTTTTATTTCTGAAGTTGAAACAAAAGGTTCTTTACAGATACATTCTTAATTTTGCTTATCTTGATGCTCGAACTCAATAAAACTCTGTTATCAGAATTCCTGTCAATCTCTGTCGGTTTTGCTCAGCTGATTTTAATCCGCCTTAATATAACCCATACAAAACACTTAAGCATAGTTTTCACAATCATTTATGAATTTATAATAAGTTTTTTAACCAATTATTTGCTGTAATGGGAGTTAAAAACGTGCTATGTTTTACCCAATAGCTAATCACGTTTTTCATGTTCAAGGTTAAATTTTCAGGATGGTAAGTTTATATTATTTGATGTATTATTGTGGTTATTTCGTTCAGAAACTTCGGAAAATACTATTTTCTAATGTGATAAATGAAATTTTGTACAAATAATTAAATTAAATAATGCTTTTACTAAATTTAAGTAATCTTTTTACAAATCGACAAGATTATCGTGCTTCAGAAACATAAATGTACACAAATAATAAGAAAATGCAGCTATGGAAGTAACCAGGTAGCCTAATAAAAGTTCTTTCAGTTTTGATTGAAAATGTTAGAAGTACGGTTTGAGAAGGAGTAGTTGATAAACTAATATTAATAGTATTGCTATTTTATACTCAAACTACATCACTTTGTGAAACGTATATTATTTAGGACTACAATTAACAAAATGCTCTTCATAAAGACTCCTCAATAAATTTGTTCGTCGGAAAGTTTTATTGTTATCCAAATATGTCTTACTATAAACTCAAGTCATCATTTCTAATACTGTACTGGTTACTAATTTTATCCTGGCTTAAAATAGTTGATCTTCTTAGTTATTAACAACGCTAATGCTTTCATAGTAAGTGTTTTTACGCTGGCCTACATCAAGTTTGTCACTATGTCTAAAAAATTGATATCTTTTTGGTAAGCGGACATGAGGTTAGCTACTTTTGAACTACAAAAAACGTAATGGATCGGACATTTCTTTGAACTATCATTGTTTAAATGAATTTTCATACAGTGATATGTTGGAAACACAAACGAAGTAATTTTAGATGAAGTACTACCGTTAGCCCACTTCGAGAACTAATTAAAATGTAGGTTAGAAGATGATTGTTTAGTTTCACTTCATTATAATCTAACATGCGCCATGTTTAGACACCTCTGCTCAGTGTCGGTTTCTCTATTATAACCAAGATAACAGCACTTAACGTCATGTTGTTTAGAGGCTAAGCGCCAGGCGGCGTTTTCAATATATTACATGTAACAGACACTTCATATAGATCTCTCAGTGCATAATCGGTAGCCTTAAGGTAAATAAAATACTGTAATTTAATCCTGTATCGAAATTGAATACTATAATCAGCTGTAATATACAACAATGCAATACGAGATGAATTTTATGTTAGTGAACCATTGCAAATGTAAGAAAATAAAATCATGAAATAATGAATGCAATTTCCCCAGACATTCTTGAGTTGTTTGCTCCAGTAGATTTTGTCTTAAAAAATAATCCCCGATTGAGTGAATGGAAAGATTTACAGAATTTTTATTCGGCTCCATGCATTTATTACAAAATCAAATTTGAAGCAACATTTGTGCAACAAGGCTAGATAAAAATAAACAAAATATGAAATATGGATGTTTTACTATCTATATAAGTTAACACCATCATGTTCCATGATTTTCAAATTGCCTTAACATTTGTGGTTGATTTAAATTAATTGTTTGAATAATTAAAACGTTCTGTCTTGATAATAAACTACTTGTTTACAGACTCATGATTTAGGCCTAACAGATTTTTTTATAAAATTATAGATGATGGTGTGAAGTATAAACAATGATCTACTAGACTTTGAGCACATAATAACTCTATTAAAAGAATTTTGTAGCATTGTTGGTTATTTTTTTCTTAGGAAATTTCACCCCGAATAAATCTTTGCTCAACAACTATTAAGTCAATAATTATACAGTACTACTACAATTTATTATTATTTAAATATTTTATATAATTAATTATTTTGTTGTCCAGACCAGGTAGAGATGCCACAATGGAGACTATGCTGCTTATACTTATCCTTCTCTTCTGCTTTCACCTAGCCTCTGGTAAGAAAATAAAAAATAATTTAAATATCAGTGTAAAAACGTGTATTCTAAAATACTCCAATACAAAACAGTAGTAGCATAGACAAATAGAATTAAACAGAACCAAATATAGACCGTCAGCTGTGCTACAGTTACCATAGGTTCTGGCGCACACCGCTGGGAGCGCCATGTAGTTACGGCATACACGCTACGTAACTACATGGTGCTCCCAGCGGTGTGCGCCAGAACCTATAGTAACCACAGCACGGCTGACATATTTAATTCTTTTTGTCTATGGTAGTACAAACTTGTAGCCTCTATTGAATTTAACAGTTATTGACAAGAAATAAATTATACCAGAATCTGACACATACTTTTACCAATCGGATAAGCTTGTCAAATAAATGGCTAAGGTGGGAGTAGCTATGATAATTTATGTGGATAAACATAAAAAAACTATGAAATAGGAGGACAAGAGAGCTAAAGAAGAAGAGAAAAAGCAAACAAGAAAAGAAAGGATCAAAGGAATAAATTAGGATAAAAACAAAATAACACATGAAAGAATAATAAAAAAATTTAAAATTAAAAACACAAGACAACTTTTTAGACTTTGAAAGAGCCCAGAATCTAGGAAGCTACTAATTTAGACTTTTCCATTTTAGTCTAGCATTTTTAAGCTTTTACAAAAATTTCTGAACCAAAAAGTTTCCAATGTGTCCAGTTTGTTGTTCAGCAGGACAAACGGAGGTGAGAGTGATGGTTCCTCCTGTTGTCAGGAGAGGTTCTACAGTGACTCTGGTTTGTCTCCATAACCTCACAGCTGACAACCTCTACTCAGTCAAGTGGTACCGGGGGAACTATGAGTTCTACAGGTTCCTACCCAAGGAGCGCCCTCCCGCCACGACCTTCCCTCTACCAGGACTCGAGGTTGATGTGAGTTTCTTGAGCATCCTGTATTTTCTTCGCTCATCTTTCATTTTGTCTTTGAAGGCAAAGCCGTACAAACTCCTCAAGAGTTAAGTACCATAATGATTTTTGAGGTTTCCCTATTGTTTACTGGTTTTAACCTCCATACATGCTGATACCACCCAATTATTTTAACATTGTTCTGTCCTCTCCTGCTTGAATGACTTTTAACAAGCTCAAAAACATAATTTTGAATATCTGCCATTTTGGCAAGGATGAACTGTTTGTGGTCTGGTTTGTGGCATTGTGTTCTCCTGTTAGAGGCTTTTAATTTAATGCACTACTCAAACCTATGCTCGAATTTAAGATTTTTTGTTGGGTCCTTGTGGACCAGTATGATGGAAAAGAAATTATGCAAGTTTGAAATTAGTAGATTTTTATGTATGGAACAATGTATGTGCAAAGCTTAGTTGCATTATTTGAAATAGTTAAAAAAAATAAAATTCCGTTCTGAGATTTTGAGATTTCTGTACATAATTTTTGAGTACTGAAATAAAAACGTGTTCAACAGCGAAAAACTTTTACATTCCCCAATGTACTAATGTAGAGTAAACCCTCAGAGTTTCCTGATGTTACAGATGAATGGGTCTAGTGGTCAGCAGGTCACTATCCGAGTGCTGACCCGGCATATCTCCGGTGTGTTTACATGTGAAGTATCTGCCGAGGAACCCTTCTTCAGCACAAGTTCCGACTCAGCAAACCTCACAGTCATCGGTAAAACTTACATGATATCATAAAGTCTAGAACAGGCAGCCAATACTGTTAATTTTAACCTGAGTGCGAGTAAATGATAAATGTAAAATGGAGTGAGATTACCTATACCTGTATGTAGTTTTGTTACTGACTATCTAAGAGAAGATTAGAATGCAGTTAATTTAATGTAACTCTGAAGATGACACACCCTGTGACGAAATGCGGATCGGTGAATATATAATACTTCAAGAACACGAGTCATCCAAGAAATTTTTTTAGATAACTAAATTAAAAAGTTCTTAAAACATTGTAACATTATTAATTTTAAAATTTGTTGTCAAAGTTGAAAGTGCTGAATGGAGGTTTTAATGATTTATTGTGTAATATTTCAGATATCGGCCTCCGCAAGCCTCTAGTCATACCAAGCTCCAGCGTACATGTGGCAGGTTTACCCATCCAAGTCAACTGTTCGGCCCAGCCAACCGTCCCGGCTCCTAATATTTCATTCTACCTCGACGATGTAAAGGTGTGGAAGAAATGTTGATTATATCGATCTGTTATGTACTGTACATCTTGAGTATTTCAAAATTACGCCCGTAATACTTAGCAATTGCTTGAATTCTACCTACACTAGTTGTTATAAATATGCAAAGTACAGGTCGTATAAGAGGCAAAATCTACTGTCTTAGCTAATATTGGTGCATACAAATCCAACAATGTAAACAGCTGATTAGTAAGACTTGACTTTAAAGGTTTTTATTGGCTAGTTGGCAAAATAAAGTAATATTATTTGGTTAGTTATACCAAAGATTACATATACTACGCAAAGTATAACTAGTGGAACCCCGTCGAAATCCACGGTTAATCTTGAGGTTTTATGTAAATTCAGCTAACTGCGTTGGAGTGAAGTCATTAAAATCTTAGTTATATGAAGGGAGGATAAGCAATAATAAGTATGACGATTGTGTTTCCTAAAAAACGTGATTGATGAATTAGTTTAACACAATATTTCCTACCTTTCTTTTTATCGGCTTTAGGTTGCCCAAAAGGTATTTTAGGAGTCTTATAATTGTTTGTTCATGAGTTTGTTTCATACCAAAGCCACTTTCACTATATGTGAGAATGAGTTCATATAATTAGTCTATCATGTTACGGAAAGAGTCAATATTTATTACTAACCACTAATTCCATCTGCTTTAGGAAAATCATTCAGATTGTATCCGGATTTATAAATAAATCTTCATCTTTTTTTTTGATAAAAATATCTGATTCTCCAGAAAGCAGTAACATTCTTACTTCGATCTCAGCAATTTTAAATCCTTCTCTTGCCACATCGACCCATGTATTTAATCATCCTGTTCTTACTTGATAATTCATTAACTTATGGGGTAGTTTTGCCTTGGCCATATAGATCACATAAATCTGTGCATGTATTTCGTGGATTGGAATGAACCATAATTGTAAAAAATTTTATCACAAATCTTGAACATTTTCGGAACCAAATCCATAACCTAGTCCAGCATTGGTAACAAATTACGCAAATGCGATGAGATGTGATGACACTGTTGTGTTTCCGAATGTTTTGTATGTAGTGAGGTTTAGATGCGTTGTTCAACCTCGCTACATGTGTACATCAAAGTAAAAACTGTGTACAAATTTTTTTTAAATACCTGAATTGACATTAGTTCACCTACTTTACCAAAACCATAGACTCCGTAGTTAGTCTATGAAAATACACAAAATTCTCACAATAGTGAAAGTGGCTTTGGTATAAAACAAACTCATGAACAAACAATTATAAGACTCCTAAAATACCTTTTGGGCAACCTAAAGCCGATAAAAAGAAAGGTAGGAAATATTGTGTTAAACTAATTCATCAATCACGTTTTTTAGGGAACACAATCGTCATACTTATTATTGCTTATCCTCCCTTCATATAACTAAGATTTTAATGACTTCACTCCAACGCAGTTAGCTGAATTTACATAAAACCTCAAGATTAACCGTGGATTTCGACGGGGTTCCACTAGAACATTTTCTATATATTAATTTGAAACTGTTTTTCTTTGTGACAGCTATTTTGAGAGAACGGCTGGGCGTAGAAACTCGGTAGAGGTGTCTAAAGAAAGGTCCTGGTCTGTAGATGAGCCATCAAAAGAGAAACATGGAGAATTCCCTCGGGGCTCTGCCCCAGTGGCCTTTAAATTCCCATCCCATGTTATTCTTATGGAGGAAAACGAGGTTTTTGTCACAGCTAATTTGAGAGAACGGCTGGGCGTAGAAACTTGATAGGGGTGTCTAAAGAAAGGTATTGGTCTGTAGGTGAGCCCTCAAAAGAGAAACGATGTAAATTTCATTGGGGCCCTGCCCCAGAGGCCTTAAAAGTTCACTCTGCAATTGTATTTACATTTCCACTACATATGACTTACATTACACCCAACTACGTGAAGGTGGCCCCATCCAAAAACGACTTGGCACAAAATTGCCGTAAGGTGCAATATCTATTTTGCGTAGCATATGTAATCTTTGGTTATACAGTAGACTTATATAGTATGCTGTAGACCTTCTTAACTAAAAAGTTGGTTTAACTGGGAACCCCATATCCGGACTGACCTCGATCCCGAGAAGTCCAGATATGATGAAGTCTATTTACAGTATCCTAAAGTCATTATATTATTGGTGGTATTTGTTGGTCACTCCAGTGTGATATTCAAAATATTTTGAACTAGCCTTGTACTTATTTGGGAGATTTTAACCCCAGATCTAGCTGTGCTGGAGGTGGACAAGCTCGGTTCCTGTATGCTATATAAGGTCTTTGAACTATCAATGTTGTTTGGCAGGTCAACAAGAGTGCAGTGAGAGTATTAGCGCCGGGTCTGGCTGTGCTGGAGGTGGACAAGCTCGGTTCCTGTATGCTATATAAGGTCTTTGAACTATCCATGTTGTTTGACAGGTCAACAAGAGTGCAGTGAGAGTGTTAGCGCCGGGTCTGGCTGTGCTGGAGGTGGACAAGCTCGGGTCAAGTGAAGGTCCAGTATGGGTCAGGTGCGAGGCAGCTGTTAGTGGCGTCTATCACTTGAGTAGTGCCAGTATACCTATACTGGAACATCATCAGGAGCTGGCTGCATCATCCAACGGTAGGCATACTGTATTACAAGATGTTATGTGTATTATTATGACCACTATCCGACTATAATTAGGCCCATTATTATTCTAATTTTTAGAATAGAGAGTACTATCCAACCTTAGAGATAGTCCAGCTAGGCCATAGGGGGAGGGGAATTGTGGAGTTTCAGGAGGGAACTTCCAGGGGACCAAATCCATCAAGTTTTCCTGTATCTCCTGTATGTAGTATGAGCAGTTTTGCTGCTATCTCTTTTTTCTAAATATTAAAATCCTTACCTAGAACCTTCCCTCAAACAAAATTATTATTGGTTTTTTGAGCAGAACGAACTTGGTTTGGAAATACATAATGTATAAACAATTAATTGTCGATTGAAAAGAGTTCAAGTGGTTGATTGTGCATTCAAAATTCACAACACAATTTAGTTTCAATGGCAAGACTGATTTGGATAGTTAATTATATACTAGCCAGTTAATTATCCTCCATTCACAAAATTTAGGTGGTTTTAGGGAGGAAATCTATCCCTTCTAATTGATCCTACCTTTGAAACAATAGCTTAACAGCTGAGGTTTGTCAAAATGTCAATCAGCTGCAACATACAAAGTAGTTTTCTTTTTCTTATTCTTTAAACTAAATCATTTGTAATATTTTTCAGTGTCACCTTCAAGTCTCAAGACCAATTTCATCACCACAAAGTGCCTTCTTCTTCTATCTATTGTGTTTCTAGTCGAGTACAAACTAAAAATATAATTTGTTATTTAGTTCCTTAATTGTATATGTACGTTATATGCTTAAGATATTCCAATTTATTTAATGTCTAGATTTAGATTTTATTAACTTTTGTACAGAGTTTATTTAATTTCTTGTAGTATAAAACTGTTGTTATAATTTAGCTTCATTAAAATGTTATGGCTGTGAGTTGTAGTAATAACAAACTATTAAAGCTATTTAAATTAAAATGTTAAGGCTATATTTAATTAAATTCCTGTGATGTTAACTTTTTAAAATATAACTATGGGGTAAGGTAAAAATGATGTATGATTATAACATTTTTATAGAAAGCTTTTACTCAAATATGTTATAATTTATCTTAAAATTTCTTTTGACATTTACGTAACTGATACTTCTCAACTCAGGTACCACAAGGCACATTTTTATGATTAGTCATAATTAATTCCATTAACAATTGGCATGTCATGTTAACAATACATTTATGTTTGAAAAAAATTATACAATAGGAAATAAATATCCTAGCTATCACTGAAATAACACTTAGATCTTTTATTAAAATTATATAATAGTTGAAATCCTGTGTTGAACCTGAAAAATAACTCATTAATTCCTATATTTTGTAGGTTGCAACCCAAGGGTTAAACTATTTTTCATATTCCTATGCCATATGAAATTTGACAGTTCCCATCTCTTACAAACCCTATTCTTCCTACCATCTAATATTGATCTTTTGTCAGATAGCATCACTAACTGATAGCCCAACAACAACGATATCTTGGTTTGAACCTCCTCGCTCAAGATCTATATTAACCTTCTACATCAACCTTCAAATCAAATCAAATGCTACGCCATCAGTAGGTAGAAAGTTCAGACTTTTACAGTTGAGCACATAATGATGAGTATTGTTGCCTCAAGATTATTCACAGACATCTGTAGTAAGATTGTGAGCAGACAACCTCTTCATGTCAGTTTCTTCCTCAGCCATCGTCTGTATTTGGAACATGACAACTTCATATGTAGCAGCAAGACCAATCACCTAGGAATATGAAATAATGGATCAAAATTTGTCATATAGACAAATAACTCAGGTAATATAGACTTTTTATGCAAATAGTAGAGTACTAGCAAACAAGTAATTTTACTTTTGTGTTTAGTCTCTAGTTTTACATAAATTATTATTATCAATCACTGAGATGGGGATGCCACCTACAGTAGACCCCCTCTTAACCGACCCTAATGGGACCGGACCTAGGTCGGATAATTCAAAAGGTCGGATAAAACGGACAATCCCTTAAATCATAACATAATGAAGTGCTATTAATTTGGAATTATATGATCATTATTTTGAAATCATACTTGCATTATTTATAAAATAAACTACTCTTATCTCCTTTTTTGTATTGATAGAAAAGTCACAAATAAACACAAAACACGGTTAAGTCAAATAGGCCTACTTTCAGTGGAAAATATTATACTAGGCAAGAGTCAATAAAATTCCTATTTTAATAACTTTAGTACTGTAATTTATTGATTGATGCTTTCCAAATCCATTGTAATACAGTACAGAGCCTTTTGTCGACATACAGATACATAAGATACAATCAATAATTTTGTTACAAGACATGACGTTTGTTTATAGCCTCTCACTGGAGGCTCGAGGCACAAAAACTATCTTGACCTTGGAGTTGTTAACCCCCTTTCCCAGCCCTCCCTACAAGTTGCGTTGTTTGTTTACTCCAGCTATAAGATAATCAGTTCTCAAAATCGTAACGCACTTTATGATGTTATAAATTTGCCGCACAGATAACAAACAGATCAGATGAGCTCGAGCTACAAACGATGATGACAAACTGACAATAGGCTATGCTATATTTTTTGTGATCAACACAAAATAACTTATTCTTAGTCATATCCTGTGGAGATAAGCGTATGGTTCAGTTCTCATCGCCCAGGGTGGGAGCGGAAATGCCGAGATTCCTAGAAAGCGGCAATTAAACCGAGCTGCTCTCAAAGCAAGGTCGGTTAAAACAAACTGTATTATTTTACGATCGAAGGCGGATAATCCGATTATCGGTTAATACGAGGTCGGTTGAGAGGGGGTCTACTGTATGTGCATATTTTAACCCAAACATGAGTGAAAGAGTGTGATGGTCTGTGAAGCTTTGTTACTGACTAAGATCAGCTGTTCCATTACCGTAGTCAGTATCATCATAGACAAAAAGAAATAAATATAGACCGTCAGCTGTGCTGCGGTTACCATAGGTTCTGGCGCACACCGCTTGGAACGCCATGTAGTTACGGCGTACGCGCTACATAAACTACAGCGGTGCGCGCCGGAACCTATGGTAACCACGGTAACAGCAGCACGGCTGACATTCTATATTTAATTCTTTTTTGTCTATGGTATAATTTATTCAAAACCCAATCATCAGGAACAGCTGGATCTAGTTTTGAACCATCAAAAAGCAACTGACTTTTCTCAGGATAATATTCAGCAACCTTTTGATTGTTAGGCGAGCACTATAACCAGCCAGATCGAGTAACCTTGTCCTTAATATGTGATAAACTATTGATATTGTGATTGATTCAAACTACTCACAGTCACTAATGTTGTCCTGGTCAGAATAAAGAATCTCATTGCACTGATTGCTACTGAGTCATTACAGACTTGAAACTGGAATCTCTCCACCTTAAAGTAATAAAAATAAATCTGGATTAAAATGCTAATTGTTAAAGGACAAGATATTAACATCTTAAATACAAAATTAATCCAACTTTGGTTTCTGGATATGTTTCACTTTGTCACTCGCTTTAGTCACATTGTTATTGCATAGAAGGGAAGGTGGAAGTATATTTTACCTGTGGGTACTGCAACCTATAAAAGTTACATGTCAACGTAAACCCCCATACTGTGCGGTTACCGTAATGCTGTTTGCAGCGTTATCATTTTAGAGAGGTAATATTAATTCTCACTTCAGCCATTTTCAAACTGCATATTAAAACAAACCTACTCAGTGAGCAAATAAAATTTTAGCTCATTAAGCTGACTAATGTAATGAATATTCAAACAATGTTATCACAAAGTTTACCTCCTCATCAAACTCTTCCGATGGCACTGAGAAGATGACAAACTTGGGTTGTTTGGCGAGATCGTGGATGGAAGCCGAGGCGAGACACACAGTGATAGTGCGGGACATCAGAAACCCGAAGGAGAGGCAGAAGTAAGCCTTGCTTGCCAGAGTGGGTAGCGGACTGAAAAAATTACCAGCAGTTAATGTTGCTATAGCTACAATCAACCATCGATCAAAGATAGTGAAATAATATGGACAAATGATGAACCTTGCGAACACCTAAACACTTCTATTTCTTAAGCAAGTTTGATTTAGAACTCTTGGGAGAGTTACTGGAAATAGACTGCCAGATTTCATTCTTCAGGAGATTCTATCGAACTGGAGAAAAAAATAGCTTATGCTTGCGTTTCTGGAACCCATTATGTGACTGCAAGCAAGCTGGAACTCTAATTGCTTCAAGTTTTGAATGATAGCTTCCCCAAAAGATGGACTGTTACAATTAAGGTATCCTAAAATTACCACTATCTTCGCCAGTACAACAACACTGTCACCTCCTAAGACCAAGATTTGACTAGCAAGCCTACTTCAACCGTAGAGGTCTTTCTACTAAATTTAATAGGAAAAGATTCCAAATTTGTAAATATTTGCTCTTTACATAATCATTATTATTATTATCGACTGAGATTGGGACACCACCTATGAGTGTATTTGAACCCAAATACAAATGAAGGATGAGTGTAAAATGGTGTGAGATGATCTGTGTACCTTATCTACTGACTAAGATCAGCTATTCCATTATCCAGGATCATATTTTATTTAAAGCCCAATGATCAGGGACTAACGATAGAACCATCAAAAAGCTACTGATTTTTCTCAGGATCAATCCAGTGACCTTTCGATTGTTAGGAGAGCACTATAATACATACTGACAGTTGACTCACGTAAGACTTAAGTACAATTGTAGACATATGTGGTAGACGTTGATGATGAAAGACAGCAACACTATTGGGGAGATGTGGTTGTCTACAACGGTCACAAGTCTCCTCAACACATTGTAGTCCCTGTACCAGTCACTCCATCTGGGCCTCGAAATAGTCTGAAGTACAATAAAAATTCTCAAATAGTGGTAAATAACTGTCAATTCTTAGCTGGGGAAATTAGATAACTCGAAGAGTCGAAGAGCAAACACAAAATTAAGTTCTTTTGCTAGAGTGCCAGTGGCATTTCCAATGAAGGAATTACCGTACAAATGATTTTGAGGGAAATAAGTGTGAGATATTATTACAATTTTGTGGGTATGCCACGGATTAGACCCAACCAATTCTTGAGAAGGTGAATATGGTTCTGAAACAACCACAACATGCCTTTGTTTAGTTTCTGCTCTTTTTGCAGACTACCTTAACATAATTGTTTTATGAACGCATCTTGAGCTTTGTCATCTGAATGTGTTATCACTAAGCTAGAAAATTAATAAGGACCAAAAACCCAAATGGTCTAGAACCTATATTTTCATACTGTACAAATTATCTTACTACGGTACTTCACGGGGCAAATTCCATCTAACTAAAAAAAAATTGTCCGTTTTGTTCAATTTTGACTGTAGTATACATTCACTGTTTTCAGAATCACCTGGTAAACTTAATTGTATAAAAACAAAAAAGGTGGTTTTTGATAACATTGTTCATAAAGAGCTAGAATTTGAAATATGTACTCACTTGCTTGGAGGCTTCAACCAGCTGTCGGTTGAAAGCCCAAAACATTGATGATAAACAGAAGGCAAGGTTGAAGATGAGGAGATCTAGGAAGCTGAATGTGAAGGTTGCAAGAGTATTCAGCATCAGCACTAGAGGAGTCAGCGCAGGTGTGTACGGCAACACGGTCAGCAGCTGCGGAAACCATCTGCTGAAGAACCTTCTGAACACATTTCGGGCGGAGCACTCGTAAACGTTCACAATTGCATTGATGATAGCAAATGCGTGTTCCACTGGAAAAGATCAAATGCCTTGAAAGTATCTGTGATTTGCTAGGAGATAAATTCTAAGACACTCTGTTTTCAGGTGCTTTTGAAGTTTTTAAGACTAGTGCTGCAATCTAGATAGACGGCAGACACTCTGTATTGCTGTATTGCATAGTGTAGTCACAGAGAAGTAAGGTACAGAAAAAAAAAACACGCTTGGGACAACCGTGCAATTATAGCTCTGGTAATATTGTGCCAGAAATATACTTGTGACGATCGAGCAAGGTAGAGCCTGAATGGTGAGCACTGTGCGGACATTCCTATCGTACAGTGACTTCCTCCACTGTGAGCATAGAAGATGAGCAAGGGCAAGGGGAAGCGATGTTAGACTTTGCCCTAGACACCAGTGCTGGTGCTAGACACCACTTAAGAGTACGATGGAGTGTATCCTCTAACACCACTTCTCTGTGGTATTGTTTACCTGTTGTTCCTCATAGTTATGGTGCTGATTGACCAATTTAGTAACCTATAGCTTGAAAGAAAGGCAACATTAAGATAAGTGAGAAATCCATCTACCACAATATTTTCCTTTGCTCTTTTACTAGTTTGGTATCAGTACCTTAATATCTTAATAGTTCTAATTTTTTAATGAGTTTTGTCCCACCTTCGCTAGGCCTGGCTGTGACTAGGTATTTCACACATTACTACTAGTAAGAGAGGATCACAGTATCATCCCATGGATAAATCCCTTTTACGATTGGCAGGATTTGAACCCAGGATCTCAGGGACTGAAGTTCCACAATCTACCACTAGACCAGCTTGCTTACCTTAGTAGTTGTGATGCTATATTGTACTTAAATATCCTGTAAATTGGATAAAAATTGAACAAAACAGTTTACTAGTAGTACTACCACTTAGCTACCACCACTTCTGGATGGATCGCAGCTCGCAGCAGTAATCTTCCAGCTTACTATATTTGCATTGTAAACAAATTATAAGTTTGAAATGTTCCAGTAACTCACCCACAGCTACAAGACAGTACAAGGCAGTGAAGGTACGACAGATAAGGGTTGTGTGAGGTCGGTAGCCGAGGTGTTTAGTAGACACTTCAGCATGTCTCCACACGTTGGACAACCGAGGCCACGCTTTACCTAGACGGTGGAGGAGCACACAGGACAACGTCGCACTGCCGTAGAACACTACTTTGGCTGAAACAACATACTCTATGTACTATCTTTGACTATTGATACAAGTACTTCAGCATCCAATAGTCAATGGTACTGTACTACCATTGACTATACACAGACTATTCTTTGAAAGCCTACAGTCAATTGTACTACTGTACGTCACTTAAAAATGGTTCCAACGCAGTTCTGTGCTAAGAGTTGTCTTGCCTTATCTAAAATTAAGATTGAAACATGTGATTACCAGTGGAGTACATACTTGCTCTGAAGACAGTAAAGTTGAGGAAACACCAGTGAAGACCAAGCAACGTCATACCAGCTGTTCCAAAAATTGCAAGGAATGACGTCACAGTTGCCTGAGTCTTAGCAGAAACTGGCAGGAGGCCGAAGATCCTGGCAAGCAGCAACGTCCAGGATAGCGACTTGCTGAATGTGTCAGTGGTTCCTACTGGAAACACTTTACTCTTCCTGAAAATTATAAGGTTAGATCATTCTGAAAATCTATACTATTACGCACACCCCAAACTTCTACAACCAGCCCAGACTCTGTACTATTTTGGTATATAGTTGATACAGCCGAGCATACCCTCTTCAAAATTGACAGTCAGTGCATGGATTGAATCTAAGTTTTGTGGGATCTAGATTTTGTGGGGTCTTCTTCACACAGATCTTGTTGGAACTGGTCATGTGTTTCATTCAAGTTCATACTTTGAACTGAAAAGTCGACCTGAAATCATCGTAGAAAGTCCGAGTGGTATGATTTAAGGGACTAGTCTGAGATAATCAACTGAAAGTCTCAGTGTTGTATGGTACATGCATGCGTGGGTGAGCTTTGCACTAGGGTTTTGTAGTGTCCCACACTCCGTTAGTAAAAGGAATCCCACCTACCCGCATCCACAAAAAACAAACAAAATCCTCAATCTTTCTTTTTGAAATTCATTTATGTTTATGGCGATGGTTTTTATTATCTTACGGAATATTACGGACATTTTCCATCAAGATTAATAAAATTTGTTTTCCAACTATGGTGGGTTTGTGTACTATTTTTATAATGTCATGATACTTTCTCACCTGATGACGGAAGGTTTCAGGTACCACAACTCCGGAAAAAAATTGTTTTTAACTAATCAGGGTGGAAAATGTCAGCAAAAATAATGTTTACAACCTGCCAAACAGCTTAAGAAACTCAACAAAATTATTTGATTTAAGGAATACCTTGTATAGGTTCGATCTTGGGCATGTTATTGATTTTGGTTGTAGACCACGATTTTAAAATGATAACTTAAAGGTTTACAAACAAGAAAAGCACAATACAATAAAAAACGCCAATAAAACGTATTCTCCAAAGTGAACAGAAATATTTTTGGATAAAAAAATTATTTCAAAAATAGATCCATAATCTAAGACAAAACATTTTTTTAAACAAAAGCTAGAGAACTATATTGTATATATTCTTTAAATAGTTTTAAAAAGTGAATAAAATAACATTAATCCCGTTCCAGCCAGCCAAAATATTAACAGGTCATATTTGATATAATAACATTTCTGTATTATCTTTGGTAACTATACATACAACACACCAAAACTCACCAAAAGTGATGTTTAATTCTAAAAAGTGTCTCCATACTACAATAACAGTAAAACTACAAAGCAAAAGCCTCAGTGAAAATATAAACAAAATATCAAGTTTAATTGTACAATGCCCTATTTTTATGTCAAGGTAAATGTTAGTTGGTCAATGGCGTTGATAGTGATAACATAGAAGAGATGCTCCAAAGATAATGGTGGTAAATTTTTAACGCGAATGTACACAGTCGAACTGATATAGCTTCGTGTAATTGTTATTGTGATATCGCTGTGAAATATCGTGATATTGCTATGAAACTCCACGAACTCTGTAAATATTTGATTAGAAGATGATATGTAGATACACCAGGGCAAATCAGAACAAAGATCTAACAAATTTTAGTTTTATTATTGATAGAACCGTTTTACATTTACCGAACTTGGTTTTAGGTTAATTAATGTAGTTGAGGTAGCCCTTAGCTATAAGAATTTTGTAGTGACAAAATATGGAGTTTCCACACCTAACAGTGTGGGAATTGGTTAACGTGTTCGAAACTGTTAGAGCTATAAACAAACAAAAATTACGGTAATAATTGATTCATTTAAACTGTTTTGAGAGGTTATCTTTACGTGACAAATATTTTCGTATTCCAACATAAATTAGTTAGTTAAATAATGTTGCAATGACAAAAATACAGTTCATCACACGGGCAAAAAGTATCTTTTCAACCCTCGCTCATCGTACATCAGCTTCGTGAAACTTTAGCTCGGATCGAAAAGAGTCACTTTACGCCCTAGTGGTGAAATATACAATTCCACCACTAAAGTAGCTAATTAATTTATTAGTGGATGGCTTGCTACTAAGATCAGCTGTTCCCAGTCTAGTGATCAAGGACAGCTGGGTCCAGGTGTTTTGTTCTCAGAACCACCTACAATCTGTTGGTTCTGACTTTGTATTGAAAATGTATTACAACATCATATTATCGGATGCGATTTCATTGCACGATGTTTCGTTACATACTGTAATACTGTAATTATTGGTATTGTACTGAAACGATATTTTCCTATTCTGTACTGCCCTGTAGGACATTTTACTTGCATATATTCTATTGTTTATACAGTATAATACATGTATCCTGTATTCTACAGTACTCATTTGCATTTATTTGCGTCATATTGGGTTTACGCAGTATTGTACTGAATGTAATTGTGTTTACTGTACCGTTTTGAATAATTGAACAGTTTACAAAGAATAATTTAATTGCAATACATTTTTTCGCATTGTCTTTGTCTTTCATTGTACTTTATTCACTCTGCAGTACAGTTATATATTGCCATATTGCTTACGTATTGTCGTATTGTACTGCAGTACAGGCAGAGGTGTGTTATCAGCTCGCCTGTAGATCGATTGGATCTATCATCACGACCAGTTACACCACAGAACTATATTTGGACACATTGGTGGAGAAAGTTGTTGGTTGTTTTGTTATTGTTGACTCTGTGGTAGTGCAATCCAGCCGACATAGTGACAATTGGTAAGTTTGAACTATATTCCTTTATTTATCAGTTTTAAAGTTAGTTTAGGTATATTTGTTTTGTCTGGTAGACCTTGAGTCAGATTTTTTAGGTAGTTATATTTAGGTTATTTTACTAACTTTATTATTGCGAGTAAACGACGATCTACTAGTAAATACGGGATACGGCACGCCCTCTAGCAGCGTCAGTCCACAGCCAATAGAGTATAACCTCTTATTCTTCTTCGTGATGTTCCAGTCCAGTGTGCTGAAACCCTACTGGACTGAGGCTGTTTTAGGACTTTGTCCTCTTCAGTCAGGAAAAGGATAGCAGCAGTAGTAGAGACGTGTAAATAACGAAGCTCAACTCTGCCACAGCCACAGGTTGGGGTTTGGTGGTCTTTGTTTATTGAGGTCGGTTGTAGGATTGGTTTGCGGACAGGGTGTTTTGGACACTACTCAATTGTCTGTGGTCAGGTAGCACTAAAACACCCGCTTACCGAATAGTCTCCAAACCCGCCGTTATTGTCGTCGCTGCAGTCATGTCCAAACTTTCGGCGGCGGATAGGAAGGTGATTTTTCAGTGGCGTGGGGAGAAACAGGCAAGAACGGACGAGCATACCAGCACCTACCGGCCTTGGTAGGAGAGTGGCAACAAAAGACATGGGGAAGCTGGACGAGGCGACTGATTCACCAATTCCAGCCTTGGGTACGGGAATATTCGGAGGTACGAAGAAGTGGATTTTTACAACCCAGTTTCCGACAGGTCACGACGATTTTAAGTCGTACCCGAACACCTTTTGTCCGGGAACTCCCGACGACGCGGGACACACTTTCTTCTGCTGCTCGCGTTGGGAAAGGCCCATGCTTGAGGAGGGTCAGGATAATAATTGGACCTGAATTTTACAGTTTTTCCAGGGTGTCAGTAGCAAGAAGCTTGACCTTGATGCGTTCAAGGTCATAAAAGAATTAAATGCCAAGAATGGTGAGAGCCCTGAGGGCCTAGGTCACACGTTGACCTGACCTGAAGTAATTTTACAAACAATCTCAGGTCTATGTCCAACAGTGTAAAGGAGTTTTTTTATTGAGCCGGGAGTCTCAAAATAGAGGCTTCTCAACCGTGTGCGTAACAGCATTTTTACTTCTTCTCCCTTAAAAATTAGCAAACTTAAGCTCTTCCCCAGAACTATATTATAAGTGTAAAGCTTGCACTGTAAAATTCCCTTTAACACAAGACATAAACCTTAGTCGACGTTAAAGAACTCAAAACTTTATCGTACTATTTTCCTTGACAGCAATATATCTTACAGCAATTATTAGACACTAAAATGTTATATTTACATCTTTTGCTAAACATACAATATTTTCTGTCAGACATTATCAAGAGCAGAACGTATGACCTTGGTGTCGCCTTGTGACCTTGAGCAGGACATAAACCAGTTACTACAACATTCTCATCATTATAATTCCGCCTTCCTGGCCAATTACTTGGATTGTCTAGTCCACATTTTACCACAGACATTTTTGTACCAGGTTCATAACCTAAGCGAGTTTGAAATTGAAATTTAGTTGTGATTCTTCAATTTGAGTTATTTAAAATTACACACTTATAAAGGACAATCAATGATAAGATATTTTAATATTATTTGTAGATTCAATTTCAGTCATAGATTGTATATTGTCATCCAGAGGCTTAGATACTGCTTTACAAAAAATGTATCGTACGTCTGTAAGTTCGCAACATCGTGCAAAACAGGTTAATGTCTGAATTTGCTGCTTAACTGATTTAGAAAGTTTGCGGAAAGTATTTACAGTATTTTCTCGCCAATCTAGAAACACGTCGAAGTTTATTGGTCCTTCGAAACTGGGATCAGCTGTCTTTTGCCATTAACATGAACAGCTGATCTCAGTCAGTGGCATCACACAGATTATCTTACTCCATTTTAGACACAACTCGCATTGATATTCAGTGATACGTTCGCAAATTACGAGTGTCGCTGTATTATAGTGAAGTAATTACACATTGCAATATTTATAAAAGTCTGTGGAGTATAACTTGAAAGACAAAATTGTTTACTGTGGATGACGCCTCAAATCTAACCTCAACCTTCGTTTGATTTGCGAATTTGAAAAACTATTACGTTTGTTTTGCTTCTCATTAAAACGGTGTATTGATATGACTAATATAAATTTCACCTGTGAAATCTCGTAAGCTATCCAAGTACGAAAGTCCTAGAACTTGCTTGAGTTCCTCGCCCACTCCACACACGTCTCGTACAAATTATGTTGAATCATGTTTTGTGTTAAAAAGCCTACTTACAGAGCAGACTCCAGACTAGACCGACATTCGACCCTGGTTGCAACAATAGAATGCTACAGAGTTGTCAATTCAATCGCAGCACGCGCAGACTATAGATTGTGACGTAGAATCAGTACCAAAAGTCAATTGCGGTCGTTGCATTCCTACTTGTTGTTATGACTGGAACCGAAAACATACCAGAGTTGAAAACAACTCGTAATTGAAGGAAACAACAAATCTATGAAAATAGACTTTTTCGCAGTACATAACGCAGTACATTTTTGTGTTTTACATAACGCCAACGGAGTTTTTTAAAGTTTTTTTTATGAAAACCGTTTAAACCGTGGTCTCGTTACTATCTAACACTAGCAGTTTTAGACAACATAATTAACTAATAGTCCATTGACAAATATCTTGCTTGGAACGATCCAGCAAAATTCAGATTTGAAGGCGAACAATAGACACTTATTGTTTATTGAAGACACTGGTATTTCATGCAGATTTGATGACCAGCAATCAAAAAACTTCTCTTCACTTCTCTCATACAATAATGGCAAAAGACATTTAAACTAAACATTAATAATTGACATGAAAACTACAGACCACAGCGTAGTATACCAAAATTAAATTAAAATGAAAACTGATATAAAATAATTCTGGTTACACCTGTATTCCTGGCTGGACTTTCACATTTTAAGACGGGATCCAAAATTGTGGGATTTTTTCTAAGTATGATGGAAATATCCACAGTAATTAATGAAATAATGTAAATATGGATAACTAAATCAGTAACAACTCCCTTATAGATATTTTGGGGCGCACAGCTATGCGCTTAAATGATTTCTACCATAAAAAGCAAAACAAAATTATAATTTAGTTAGCTTTAACAGCAATTAATGCGTTTCTATCTGTAACATGGTAAAACCCAGTAAACCAAGATTGTAATCTAAGTTAGCTTAGTTTAGTGAAACTTTAATCCTTACTTCATAAGTTTATTTGTTTATTCTATGATAAACTCACTTTGTCATTCATTCATGTCTCCAGACATATCAATAGATCAATTGGACAACGTTCTAAAAATAACGCGTCACTGACACTTTGTCAATTGTTGACCTATGTACGAGACAGTGACGTATTCGACCCGCGATCAGCTGTTTATAACAGCTGATGGTGATAAGACAGGACAGTGTTATCAGTACACAGGAACCGGATACTCAAGGTCGTCTACCGCGAACCTCGCAACCTCAACTGTAGTGCGGCACAACCGCTGGGACCGCGGTAACCGCAGCACATCATGGAGATGCAGGTATGGTTGGTAGATATTACGTAATTAGACTATATTTTAGTAATTCAAATTACCTCTGGGTATTTTACCCTTGGGAAATACCGGGTGAAGGAGCGTAACCCAAAAATGTATTCGTAAAAAGATTATAAGAAATTTAGATGCAAATTCTGTACGGTTTTTTATTTTTTTTCCTAGGACGCTAGGCATGAGCCCGGAATTGTTTATCACATTACTTCAGGCTAGACCTAGGGGTTGCGGTATTATCACTTAGGTAAAATCCATCGGTGATTTGGCGGGATTTGAACCCGGGACCTCTGGAACAGAAAGTCTCGCGCTCTAACCACTAGACCAGCTCGGTCCCCTAATTAATTACGGTAGGCCTATATTTTCTTTAAACTTAATACAATAAGGGAGTTTCCCTGTAACACCCCTTTCCCAGCCGTCAAACATAACCAACTTTTACGATTTGGTGTCATTTAATAGCTTATAAGATCTAGCACACCTGTGAATGAAAAAAGGTAATTTCCTTTTGGGTTTCACCCTCCTCACGTTTAATTTATGGAGTAAATTTTTTAAACATCCATTTATTCTGACTAACTTTAACGTTTTAAACGTGAATTGTAATTGAACAGCTGTTCCTGCAGTTGAATGTTTACCACAGTCAGATTGTTTAAACAAGAGACTAACCGATCGATGAGAATGCATTTTTTACAACTGTGACCCAATTGAGATAGATAAAAATAATTTTTATAGTGTAGATCCAAATTCAACAAGATTATTTTTAATTAGCTTAATTCATCTAACTGTTTTAAACAATCACATTCTTGATAAGGTAAATGCGTATTGCACTGGATTCATTTTGCTTTGGAAACAATTTTTTGACCTAATCGAACTGTGCGCTGGTATTTTAAAACAAATCAATTGCAATTGCAAATATTAAAATTTAATATTTGTTATGAATTTTGCACGTTTTCTACCACTAAGCTTAGTTATATGTCATCGTTATCTGATCTACCTCAAGTTAATCGTGACAATTTGTAATTACTTGATTTAAAACTTCCATTGTAGTGGGAATTACTAAGATTTTAATTTAGAATAAGAACTTCAATACTGAAGGCTTCTTACGAGCTTTTTTAACATACAATAATTGGGAATTTAATTATAACTTGTCCATTATTTGCAGCGTATTAATAGGTAAAATATTATTTGATACATCGTTCAAAATATATTTTACTAATGGCCTATTGGACATAACCTATATATTATCCATCAGTCTCTGATTTTACAGTATAAAATGTATATCCACAAAGGATTGGATACTTACAAATCGAAAACATAAAAAATATAATAATTGTGAAATAATTTACACGAAAACTTGAAAAGAACCGGTATGGATGATAAACATAAACAAATGACGTTTTTGGCCCGAAAATAAACATTATTTAACATTGCTTAAATGGAACAGCCGAAACATATGTTAATGCTATCATAGGATTTGGGCCAACAATGTCTTTTGTTTATGTTTATGATCCATGGGCCTACCAGTTTTTTTCTAGTATTCGTGATCATTAATGTTTTCAATAATAAAAATGATTATAAATTATTGTATTTCAAATAACGTTTTAAATATTTATATTTCTAAATAGATAGAATTAAAATTAAATGAAATTCTTATACAGTATTAAAAAAAAAATCACTATACGTTTCAATAATAAAAAGAATACATTGCCATGTTTGAAGGTTCAGTTACTATTTCTAAACTACGTAGATCCATAAATTCTTTCTGAAATCGTAAATGAAAATAATTGCCATTTAACCTAAAGGACCCAAATTGTCTTAAAAAAAATTCTTGTTTATAAAAATGACGATTCTAAATTCATTTCAGGGAATATAAATTGCGTTACACAACAAATAAAAATATCGATTGTAGAGAAATAAGCGAAATCGGAATTTGAGTACA